ACCGGTTAGAAGGTCGATTTGAACATTTTATAAGTGTTCGTGAGTCTAATTGAATGATAATTGAGTAGGGGAGTCTAGTTGACTTTTTCATAATAATAGGGGGGCTTAGACTAAAATTAAGCATAAATAGGGACTCAATGTTTAAAATCTCTAAATATGACTAACATTATCAAGGGAGTCCTTAGGTGATAACCTGAGCAACGTCAGGCAGTCCAAGTTAGTCCTACAGTTGAGTTAGGACAACATCGGGCCGCTCTATGTTTAATAAACCGAACTGGATCGCGCGGGTCGGCCTGCCCTCGCGAACCGTCCAAAAAACCGGAAATCCGGATTCCAGGAATCAACCTAACTATAAAATACTACATTAGCTGGGAATCGAACTCAAGTGCTCCACAAGATAGTTTACATGCCCCACCAACTTGCCACCTTGTCTTGTTTCACAAAGAGCTCTAACTTAGCAATAGTTATTTCTTTCTCATATGTTCAAAATGTATGAGTGGGAATTATTGAACACATTAAATATAATAAAACTTTATTAATAGTCCCGCTAGCCTTGGGCACGGGTTTTAATAATAAAGTAGTAGAGTAAGTATAGAGTGAGTATGATAAATGATAAAGTAGAAAAGATGGTACTTCGTATATTAAAAAAAGTAAATTGATGATAACTAGAAAGATAGTGTATTAAGTAGAGTAAAGTGATGATAAAGTAGGAAAGAGAAAGTAGTTTGTAAAAAGTAAGTGAGGTAAAAGTAATAAAAGTGAGGGTATTTTATCAAAAACTTTCCTTAAATGGAAAAGAAGACAAATAAAAAAACGACCAAAATGGAATAAGAGACTATTAATAAAGAACGGGGGGAGGGGGGTGTATTATACTATCCTTTATGTATATAACATTCAAATATAATCCATAAAAAACATTCAAATATAAGTTAAAATTCTTATTAAATACTTTTAACATTTTTTTAAAAGTGTAGTTTTTCAAATTCATTTTTAAACAAAGTATGTTATATACTCCGTATTTAAGCATTTACTATAAAAATAAAATCAAATGTTAATATTTTATAGATGTACAAAATAAACATCAAATAATACTATTGATTCAAATAGACCTAAAACTATATTTTAGAATATGATAAATGTGTGAATATTTTCGAATACTAAATATCCAGATATGCTCAAGAACACTTTTTCAATACTAAATTGAAATATTCAGATATTTTATAACTAAAACAAATATGAAATCACTTTTTTTAATAAAAAAAATTGCTGACTAAAGACCATCTTTTTATCACAGTGAAGAATGAATATCTTAGAAGGTGTTTGGAAGAGCAAAAATAGGCTGATCAGGCTTAAAATCTGAAAAAATAGTCAAACACCCCTTGAGTTGGCTGCTTTGGCTGATTTCTCTTATCAGCTAAAGAAGTGGCTTCATAGTTTCTTTTTGAGTTGATTTCTATTTTTGTATTGTTAAGAGGTTAAAAGACCCTATAACCAATACTGTTTCTTCCTCATCGCATAAAACATGTTCGGCTCCATGTTGTGCGTTCTGGCCTTCAAGGAAAAAAAGGAAAAAATGTCAAATAAGCCCTCTTACCATTACAAAAAAAAAAGAAATTAAGACCCCAAACTCGGATTATCACCCAATTGAGCATCTCAACATAAAAAAAAATTCAATTCAGCCTTCTACCCGGTGACAAAACATGTTAGCCGGTTATATGTAGTGACATGGCTATTTCATCTTTTCCATTTTTTCCCCTTCTTCTCCACCCCTTTCTTCTTCCACCTCTCTCGTTCCAAGCTTCCTGCAAAGTCCACTCTCCTCTTCCATCTTCTTCCACTCACCATTTCTTCTCTCATTTCTTCTTTGTTCTCCACCCATCGTTTGTTGGCTGACAATCAAGTTCATAGAGTTCAACAGGAACCTAGGTCGCCGGAGATACTCGACTGGACATCCCCTTCTCGCAGGCCAGTCATCCCCTTTCTGCTAGTGGATGGCTTGGAAGTAGACAAAGTGCTCCGTTGAAACTGCTGGGTCAGAAACACAAGTCGGGGACCGTGCTCTCTGAGACCTCTCGGCCGACGATGAAAGCCGGCGATGATGCTTACGTCAGGAGTCAACGACCTCTTCCAGACCCGCAACTTCAAACCGGCCGAACACCCTAGTCGGCGACGAAAGTTGGTAGGATATATCTCAGACGGTTGGTTCGGAGTCGCCGTCGGACGGAGAGTCTTTAGGCCGTCCAGCATCACACTTGAGCCAAACACAATTCGTGGTCCTCGGCGGCAATTCGTAGCTCATTCTGCTCTGTTGGAAGATTGTTTAAGCAAAACTTTGACCGGATAGGGAAAAGAAAAAATAAATGAGAGCAATATCATACGCCACAAAACCAATTTACCGGGTAACCGGGAGTTTACCGGCCTAAAAAACCCTATTTGACAATTTTATGTGAGTTTGAGAGCTCAATTGGGTGATAATTGAGTTGGGGTCTTAATTGACTTTTTTGTAATGGGAAGTGGGCTTATTTGACACTTTCCCCCCAAAAAATCGTCTTTGTTCTCTGCAGAATCTACCATGTGCTTTGGCCAATTGGCCTTTAAGGCAAAAATATAATCTTTGTTCTCTGCAAGCGAAATCCATCAAGTGCTTTTGTGGTGATGAATTCACTTACATATTTAATATGTGTTGTTGTTTAAACAGTAGAATTTAGTGTACAAAAATAATACCCTTTATGTTAATTATACATTCAATCAACCAATTCAGTCAATATGTTACCAAACACTTTCACTTCAGGATTTCAGTCTTTCTAGTCTTTTCGGCCGCTGCAACCATTACCAAACAGACCCTAAAGTTTTTATATATACGTAGTAGTATTATATGTTTATTAATATAAAATTTTATATAAAAGTTGACCGGGTTGACCCGGCAGGTCCGGGTTGACCCGAGATCCGATCATTCGTCCGGGTCAGTTACCGGTCCGGTTTTTACAACATAGCGGCCGTTGGCGGTCAAGCGTTGGCGGCAACCCTACTACAGCCCCAATCCCTACGGAAAAAGACTCATATTTAGGAGAATTTTAAACAATAACTCATATTGAAACCATGTTTTACTCATATTTTGAGAATTCATACTTCTTGATAGTCATACCTCTACCTCTCTAGTAATCCTATAAAGATGGTATTCATGTTCATTGCATATTTGTAAACACCTCAATCGAATACCAAATATATCATGGGAAAAGGTGCAAATATACCCTTGTAGTATGGGTGTGAGAACATATATACCCCTGTTCTTTTTTTCGAAACAAATATACTCCTGAATTTTAAAAAAGGTGCAAAAATATCCATGTTCTTATAAAGGGACAACTTAATCTTTATTGACTTTAAATTAATAAAATAAATTTCAAAAAACACCAAATATAAATTATAAATTCAAAATTAAACAACAAAAAATTTAAAAATATAATGGTGTCCAATTCTCCCCTTTATAGTTTATACTCCTATATCACAATTTAATATTGTTTAAGTATGAAATATTATTTCAAAATTTTACTATATGTTTAAGATTCTTTCGAAAAGGTGCTAACATATGTTTCACAATGTAAAGAAAAATAATTTTTTTTTTGCATTCTTTGCACTATATAATTACATATTTTGAAATAATATTTTATACAAAAATATTAAATTGTGATATAGAAAAGGGAGAATTGGACATAATTACATTTTTAAAATTTTTTATTTTTTAATTTCGAATTTTTAATTAATTTTTGGTCTTTTTTGAAATTTATTTTATTAATGTAAAATCAATAAGGATTAATTTGTTCCTTTATAAGAACATGGGGATATTTTTGCACCTTTTTGAAAGTTCAGGGGTATATTTGTTCCGAAAAATAATACAAGGGTATATTTGTTCTTCCACCTATACTACAAGGGTATATATGCACCTTATCCCATATATCGTTGATAAAGATAATCTACGCTTTAACGAACAATTATTAAGATATGCTACTGTTCCAATAACTTAAAAACATGAATTAAGAGATATTGAATAATTGTGTGATTGATATTAAATTAATAAAGTAAAAAAATAAATGAAGAGATGTTTAGAACCACATAATCTTTATAAATTTAGTATGTAACCATCCTAATGAAACATAGTGAAACCTAAAGATAAGACAGTCTGAACGGAAGGTCTCTTAATCATCATTCTACAACAAATTAGAACTGTATTAGAACAGGTTTGTGCACATCCCTAGCTCCAGCACCGCAATAGATATTTTGGGTGTTGCAATAATACAAAGCATTGCCACTAAGGTAACGATATTACTAATTTGTAAACAAGGAAAATTGCGAGCCATTGATTTTCCGATTAGCAAGTGGTAGCCGCACACGATCTATGGCTGAGAATAGGGCAACGCCAATCGCAAGGGTACAACGGAGATACATCGTAATCTGATGGGCCCCGGGTCCATCCAGAATTTTTAAGAACGCCCCCACCGATATATACGCTACCCTTCCCGCATATCTTTCTCTGAACAACATTCTTCAAACCCCATAAACGTAAAAATATACAGTTTCATATAGCGATAACGCGTTTCAATCTCAACCGGGGAAGAAGAAGAAGAGAAGAGATAGATAATCAGAGCACCTGAATTCGTAAAGGAAAGGGTGTTTTTGGTTTTCAATCATTCCTGCAAAACCATCTTCTTCCGTTCTTCGTCTACTTTGTCTTCTTCAGATCTTGTTTGTTGTGGTCGGCAATGGAGGTCGACGACAACAACAGCGACAAGAAGTACATTACATTCGATGATTTGAAGAAGCATGGAAGCAGAGAAGATCTGTGGATATCAATCCAAGGGAAGGTGTACGATGTGACGGAGTGGATTAAGAAACACCCCGGCGGCGATGTTTCGATCCTGAATCTCGCCGGCCAGGACTGTACCGACGCCTTCATTGCATTCCATCCGACCACCGCCTGGAAGTATCTCGACGCGTATTTTACCGGCTATTACCTGAAGGATTACGAGGTCTCTGAGGTTTCAAAGGATTACCGGAAGCTGTATGCTGATATTTCGAAATCCGGAATGTTCGAGAAGAAAGGGCACGGCGTGATTTATTCCTTCACCTTCATCGCCGTGCTGCTCTCGATCTGCTTCTACGGTGTGCTGTGCTGCGAGAGTGTGTTGATGCATATGTTTTCCGGTGGGCTGTTGGGCCTGGCTTGGATGCAGATATCGTACCTAGGTCACGATTCCGGCCACTACACCATCATGTCCAGCCGCGGATTCAACAAATTCACTCAGATTCTCACCGGAAACTGCCTCACCGGAATCAGCATTGCCTGGTGGAAGTGGACGCACAACGCGCACCACATGGCCTGTAACAGCCTGGACTACGATCCGGATCTGCAACATCTTCCAGTTCTGGCCGTATCTTCTAGATTGTTCCAGTCCATCAATTCCGTCTTCTACGGCCGAAAGCTCACCTTCGATCCGCTCGCCAGATTCCTCGTCAGCTACCAGCATTTCACCTTCTACCCCGTGATGTGCGTCGCCAGGGTGAATCTCTACCTCCAGACATTCCTGCTTCTCTTATCGAAGAGAAGAGTGCCTGACAGAGCGCTGAACATCCTCGGAACCCTAGTTTTCTGGACATGGTTCCCTCTGCTGGTTTCCTGCCTCCCGAATTGGCCGGAGAGGGTGATGTTCGTGCTGGCGAGTTTCTGCGTTTGCTCAATCCAACACGTCCAGTTCTGCCTGAACCATTTCGCCGCGAATGTGTACATCGGACCCCCGAAGGCGAACGACTGGTTCGAGAAGCAGATGCTCGGGACGATTGACATCTCCTGCGTGGAGTGGATGGATTGGTTCTTTGGAGGACTGCAATTTCAGGCAGAACACCATCTCTTTCCCAGGCTGCCCAGGTGCCAGTTAAGGAAGATCGCCCCTGTCGTTCAGGCCCTCTGCAAGAAGCACAATTTGCCATATAGGAGTCTTTCCTTCCTCCAAGCCAACATCACCACCCTCAAAACGCTCAGATCTGCTGCACTGGAGGCTCGGGAGAATCTGCTCTGGGAAGCTGTCAACACCCATGGATAGCCCATAGCTAGCTAGGCTTAAAGCAGATCTGTTTCTGTTTCTTTAATGGTGGTTGGTTTAATATGACTACTATTTATTACTCCTATGTGTATTTCTTCATTTATTGCTTTTGTTCTGGAGAGTTTCATGGTTCTTGTCATTTGATTCTTATCCGTGGTTTGAACTTTGAGGTAGGGAGGATGGCTGGATATGTGCTTCCCCTCCCCACCCCAGTATCTGTGGCTCTGACTGCAATTTGCACAGAACAATAATTTTTGTTTTTGAACTTTTTCCCCGTTTCTTTTTTGATGCACTGAACTGAATGATTGAATATTCTGCAAATTTCTTAAATGTTTTAAGCTATGAATAGAAGAAGGTTATTTTTATTTATTTCTATTATAACTATGGTTTGATTTTTGTCTATTTGTTCTGTTTTGTTGTTTTTTCAATCCAACCAGACCTATTTTCATGTAAAGAGTGCAACTTGCACCTGCTTTTTAAAGAGTTTTCTCCCCAACGGAGACTAATGCGCTCCTTTACTACAAAAGGGGTTCCTTTTCATATTTAGGGAATTAGGTACCTAAGGTTCAGAATTTTTGAGATGGAGGGAAGAGAACGTAAAGGAAGAGGAAAGTGATGTTTTGCCTTGGTTAAAAATTCTGGGGAGAAAAATGTTTGACTTTATTTCCCCTTATTTTCTGTCCCAAATTCCAATTTGGAGGTAGGACGTGTTTGGCCTGCTAATATTTAAATTAGTTGAATTTGTCTCTTAAGCAATAAAAGAAGTTATACGGAGTATTAATTTAGAGTATGCTTGGAAATATTGAAAGTGACTGAATCCGTCAAGTGTTGAATTATTAACAAGTTATGTTTAAAATATATGAGTATGTTTTATTTGTAAAATAAAATTACGTTTTTAGCGAAAAGATTGATTGAAAGCATTACACATACTACAACTATTCATTTAAGATCGAGATATAACGGCATCTCCAATGGTTAGTGTTCGGCCCAAGATCCAGCTAGGGGTGCAAATGAGCCGAGCCGCTCGTGAGCCGCTCGGTCAAAGCTCGAATCGAGATCGGTCAAACTCGGGCTCGTTAAGCAGTTGAGCCATAAACGAGCCTATTAATTTTAGGCACGTTGGCTCACGAGCCTAGTTTTATATATGTGTATATTTATATTAATATTTATAATATATTAATATATAATACATAGTATATATTAGTATATATAATATATAGTATAAATTAATATATATCGAGTCATGTTAATATTTGCGAGTCGAGCTCGAGCCCGGATTTTTTAAGCTCGTTCGAGCCGAGCTCGAGCCAATACAATATATTCGAGCCCGAGCTCGAGCCTACATAAACTCGGGCTCGACTCGGCTCGTTTGCACCCCTAAATCCAGCCCAAAATATCCCTAGAAAGTCCATGTGAAACAAGCGCAATGGACACAAATCATGAATAAGGAACTGCCGAACGATCTATTCCTTTTCAGCCATTCCCGAATGGCCCGAGCATAACATTTTGCAACGAGGAGTGTCATCCATGAAGGGTCAGCCCAAGTAGTTGGCGAGAAACCTTGCAAGCTGGCGGAGACTGGGGAGTGCATTAAATTTCAGAGGTATGGAGGATCAAATGGCAAGAAGATCATCCACTCAGAATCGGTCGCATCGCCCACCTCACCTACACACTCATACTATAAATATCGGCATTTAATTCAGTGTAAAGGGTTAGCATTTTGACACTCACTAACAATATAGCACTTCCTAGCCTTTGTATTAGCAACTGGTCTGGAACTCCCGTTTGGCCATTTCTTTGTAATTAACATTTGTACTGCAATACAATTGAGCTATTGAACCATCTTTTTTGTTGACCAATTACTCTGATTTCATCTCAATCGTAGCATTCTAACGATCGCCAAAGGAGTGTTGGGCCTTTGGACCTAAGGGAATTAACCTCAACAGTTATCTAATTACTCTCATAGCTTGGCTAGCCATATAAGTATTTGGAGCAAAATTAAAACGTACTCCAATGACTATATAAATCTTCTCCCTTTTCATTTATTATTAATAATGTTATATTTAATAAATGTATTTGTTCAAGCTAGTTACTCAATTTGGCTAATTAGTTTTCTCAAGGTAAAAGAAAAACAATGCTCCAATAATAAGTTATTAACTTTAAAATTGCAAGCAAATCCTTAAAATGAACCATTAGAGATACTCTAAAGGGATAATGAGGATGAAAATCCAACAATTCTTTTTATATTAAGTGGGTGTTGGTACCATTTTTTGAATGAATAATTCAACCGACGCTGAAGTTAATGAGCAGGTAAACCTTGAGTAATCCTCCAAGGAATTTCGGACTAGTGGAATGAAAGAACTCCTGTTTTGGAGTTCAAACTGGTTGAACAATCCTAAACATTGTTCTAAAAGACGTGGCAAGACGTGTGGCAAGACGTCGAGGTCAAGTCTCAAGCCTTTGAAGTCGAGGCGGGAATATGCGAAGTCTAGGCGTGAAAAGACGTTTTAGATTTTTATTGATAATTGCAATTATAGAGTGATATATGAAGAAGAAAATGAATGTCCAAAAATCCAAAATATACTATACAAGATTAAACCTAATTTTTACTTTGTTTAATATAAAAAGTAATTTTTAAATGTATAAAAAGTGTAAATACAAAATGATATATTGTTATAATTTAGAACTATGTATTAGATTCTATATATAACATGTTTATAAAAGTATTTTATTTTTAAATTAATCATTTTTTTGTTAGCAAAAATTATTTCATCTAAAAAACTTTCGCCTTTTCATGTCCAGGCTTACACTTTTTCACGCCTTTCGTGGTCAACTCTTGAGTTGACCGCCTTTTTCACGCCTTTCTACAATGCGAGACGTTTCTCCGCCGCATCACGCCTAGGCATGCTAGGTACCGCCTTTTGCCGCTTTTTAGAACACTGATCTTAAATGGTTAAAACACAATAATTCTTAAATGACAACAATGGTGATAAACTATTCTCCAATTTTGAAATAGCATCAATTATGTGTAATTCTGAGCTTGGGATAGTTTTGTTTTGTCTGAGGTGAGTTATTGGTTTGCTTATCGTAAACTGAAATAATAAAATTGAATCAGAGTGAAAGTAGAAAGTTATAAATCACAAATTATTAGAAAATTTTAATTAGGTAGTTATAACTCTATTATGAACTTATTAAACAATATGTGTGGCATCATGATGACTTTTGATTTTTAATGGGGCGACCAGATGAAGTTCAACTCACCTGGTAGGAAGGAGTGTCACAACTGAGGATCATCAGTTTAACTCCAAATAATGATTTGAGATTTAATTTCATTCTCTTACAATCAAAATGAGATCAAAACTCAATTTACATTCTCTCAGATAATTATGATTCTAGGGAGCTCAGGAATGGAATGTCATCCTCTTTTTATGATCTGTCACATATGCACAATATGACTTTATTATAGAGAGGTTATTTATGATTACCTAAATTATTACTCGTATAAATTGAAATAGAACTCTTAATAGTTCATATTTGGACAACTATTGCTTAAAATTATCGGCATAACAATTTTTTAAGATCAAATTTCACTTTTGTTCCAATAATATGTATGGAAAAAACAAAAATAATACTACCTCTGTCCCGCAAAGAAGTTCTCACTTTCCTTTTATGGATGTCCAAAAAAGAAGTTTCTATTTCTATAAAAGAAAACCACTTTTAAGCAATATAAGTTACAACTACCCTTACTTTTTACCCACTTTTTGCTTGATTTTGCATAAAGAAGGTTATACATGAAAAGTCAAAACAAAAGTCTACTTTACATAAATAAGTGTAAGTCAAATTAGGAACTTCTTTGTGGGATGTAAGTAGTATTACCAAGATATTTTTTTCGAGCTTTTGAAGGATAATAGTTCCAAGAATATAGTTTTATTATTTATACTTGCCAAACATGGAAAGTTCACCTAGATGGGAATTGATCAGAAAAGGACTTGGCAAACAGGTCTAGAGGTGATTAATAATTGCCTAGACACCAGTGATGACGCGTTTAGACAAATTCCAGAGCAAACTTACACACTAAATCATGGAAAACCAGTCATGACTCATGACTCATGACTAGAAGGTTATTTCTTTTATTTTTTCTAGTATTTCTATAATTATATTCTTTGATTGGGTATATTTCTTCTGTTTTGTTGATTTTTTCAATACAGACGGCCTTTTTCTGCTTAAAATAGTGCTAACTTTCGCCCACTTTTTAGAGTTTTGCCCAAGGGAGACTATAGGTTCTTTTTTACTAAAAAAGGTCGGATATCTACAATTGAAAAGTGATGTTTTTTGTATTTGGTAGAAAAAGCTAAAGGGAAATGTTTGAATTTATTTTCCATCCTTCCAATCACCGCGCTTTGAGAGTGAATTATGGAAACAAAAAGACTTGTACACACTTTTTAGGTGCATACACATTTACACACGTCTATGTAGATTTTTTTTTTTGTGTACACAAAATCCAACTGTTGTGAAAATTGGCTGAATTGATTCAATGTCCTAAACGAGTCTCATATGCTCTTTCTTCTTTATTAAGTGTCATTTTTTCATTTTTGATAAGTTTTTTCAATCAAAATATTTGGAAAGCTTTTAGTTATTTGTCTATCTTTTCATTTCTTTTTTCAACTTTTTCATTTAAACACAAATCACTGCACCTTAATTATACATTACCCATATTATTTTCCACTTGAAATTGTGCCAAAACCTAGGAAGAAACTACAAATTTATTTATTTTAATTGTTACATATCCAACGCGCAGAATTAAAAGTTAATGTGTTTGGTAGAAAATGTGGCTGCTAAATAAAAATAGAGTTTACTAAACCAGCACTTAACTTTAGTGAACAGGAGTTGTAAATGAAATTATTGAGAAATTTAAACTGAGATAGAGCGTGCAGGAATTGAGAGAAGAAGAAAAAAATGAAAAGAACGAAAAATAAAATATGAAAAATCTAGCACAAAACTTAGTATGTGAAAATGAGATAAGCACTAAAAAGCTTTTGTATGGGGAATATTTCTTCCCGTTTTTGGAGGTCAAAGGTCAACCTTTCTAAGAATATCGTTTACACTACTTGCCAAACATGGAAAGTTCTTCTAGATGGGAATTTAATTGAAAAATGTTTAATGTACACAAAATGTATACATAAAATGTGTACACATGTCTGTTCTTCGCAGCAAATTTGTCTGTCACAGACAATTCAAAATGAGTTGTCTGTGACAGAGAAATTTTCTGCGAAGGACATACATGTATACACATTTTATGTACACCAAGCAAAATTCAATTTAATTTGTCAGAGAAGGGACTTGGCCAACAGATTTATCGTGTTGATTATTTGCCTTAACACGCCAAATGATGAAGTTTAGACAAATTCTTGAGTTAACATACTCTTTCCGTTCCATTTTGGTTGTCCTGCTTTCCATTTTGGGTTGTCCCAAAATGAATGTCTTGTTTCTTTTTTGGAAAGAAATGTGTGGCTCTTAGAGCATCCCCATTGGTGAGTTTTCATCATACTCAAATCTCAATCACAACTTTTACTTGAGTTCCATTGTTAAATTAACTGAAGAAATGTGCTTTCATGTGTCTTGCTTACCATTTCACTTTATTTTACTCAAATCTCAATCACAACTTTTACTTTGCAACCATTTTATTAATAATCGTGTCAAATTGAAATACAACTAATATGGAACGAAAGTAGTATAAACTAAGTCCTGAAAAACTAGTCAATTGAGCATTAATATATCAAAATACTTAGTGTACACATGGTATAAAAAGGCCCCAAAAAATCTCATTTCACTCTTCCCCTT